CGGATTAACCTTATTTACACTGAACCTTATGGGGAAATTTGATTCGGTTCGCAACCAATTCAGTTCGTGACCAGAATCGTGGAACGAATTAAGTTCATGAACCGAGGTACCACTGTACTCCTCACTTAACAAACACAACAGGGACTGGAAAATTGGTTGTTAAGAGGAGCAGTCATTACGTGAGTCACCACATGACTGGACCTGATTTTACAATCATTTTTACGATGGTCATTAAGTGAATCACGTGGTTGTTAAGCAAATCCAGCTTCCCCAATGGACATTTTTTGCCAAAATTTGCTTAATGACCACATGATGCACTTGAACGTGTTGATTCACTTAACAACCATTGAAAAAATGGTTGCAAATCGTGATCATGTGATCGCGGGGGGTGGTACGATAGTTTGCGATGGTCGTAAGTGCAAGTACAGGTTGTAAAATGCTTTTTCCGAGGCCATTGTAACTTCGAACCATCATTAAATGAATGGTTGTTAAGCAAGGACTATCTGTATCTCTCTATGGGGAGGGGAGGAAAGAGTGTCTTACATAAGCAAAAAGCTGCTGCTGAAAACAAAGGAATGAGCAAGAGTACAAATACCTGAAGATGTACCTGCTGCTAACCACAGATACCTCTGAAGCTGAACCTAAAGATTTGCTGTAGGAACTTAACCCTTTCATAACATCTACACATGTTTTTCCTCTTTCTTTTCCTTCTCTATCTAATAAAAATTGTTAATCAGAAAAGTGCTACCAGGATCCTTCTGATATATGTATGAGTGTACTCTTGAACATTTCTGTATCATACTTATTTGTGTATCTTTGTGAGAGAGAATAGTTAATATACAGAGATGAAGATAACTTAATTTTATAAAATAGGTAACTTATTTTATAGACAATAGTTTTTAATTAGTAGTTACTAATTTACTAATAGTTATTAATTCACTGTAGTCCTACTCTTCTGGGAGAAGCTGCACTCCCAAAATATTTACACATACGTTAATGTGACACAAGCAGACATTTATGGGGAGAGATGATTTCTAGATTTTTGTTAATGTTTATATTTTTGTCTGTCTACTGTTATTTTGGGTCATCTTCCCTTCAGGTGAATACTACATTTACAATATCTGGGCTGCAAAAATCCAAATAATAACTAGATAGTAGTACAGAGATACAGAAAAACTCTATTTTGCAGTGTAGATATGGTAGATTCTACAAATGTCACAGATTAGAAATTCAATAATTCAGAGAAATATGACAATCCTAAGAATTAAAGTGTACTGCAAATTAAACCCACAAATATATTTGTGTTGCTGAACAAAATGCCTCTGAGATTTTCATCCATGAAATATACAATTATCTAATAATAACCTTATTATGGTACCCACTTACAGACCTAAGATTTAGAGACAGGGCATATTTCTTTGTACTGCAAATGTACATAAAAGTGTTTTCTGAATTAATTTCTTGACAATTAAAAAAATGCCTTTCTTATTACAACTAAATTATTTTTCTGTCTTATTAAAAACAGATAATTGTTACAAGGGCTCCATATAGCTTTATTAGATCCAAGTATGCAAAATAGATCACATTCTTCAAATGCGTCTTTGTAGAGTCTGCTTGGATTGAGGCAGCAGATAAATCAAATAAATAAATAAATAGAGAGAGAGAGAGAGAGAAAGAAAGAAAAATCAAACTTTAGGGCCAATAATAATAGCTTGACTAAAACTACCTATGTGGCTCCATGTCTAAGCTAAGTTTTGAATCACATCTTTCAAGTTCATCACTCTTGTTCCTGATTTCCATTCTATTTCCAGATGGATTTAATTAGTCTTGTATTAAGCAGAAAGTGCGCTGTCAAAGTAGCAAAGTGAAATTGCAAGGGAACCTGAAATAAATGCAGTCTGAGTAAAACTAACATGTGCTCTTAATTAGCAGGCAACACTGAAAACAATGAAGCAACTTGTAGACAAGAAGGGCACCCTTTTAAAACTAAATGATCGTAGAGAGGAAAGCTCATACTTTTCAAAGCAATTAACTACTGTTATGTGACAATTGGTGAAGACATTGTTTGCAAAACAAAATATATTAATATTTCAAGTAGTGATTTTCAGCCTTTTTCATCTCATAGCACACATCTCATAGGTGGAACTTCCGTATAGTGAAACTGGAAGTCCTGTGACATCACAGGCTGCTGGGACTCCAGAGGAGAAATAGAGGCAGTCTGCCCTGGTGATGTCATGGAGGCAGGATTCTGGTTGCACAGCACTTCCTGTCTTTTACTTTGGCTCACTGATGCAGTGCACCTATGGATCTTTCGCAGCACAAAAACGTGCAGTGAGGTGGTTGAAAACCACTGATTTAAAGATGAATGTGTGGGGAAAATTTCTGTGGAATCAAAATGCAGGACTCAAATGCATAATAATCAAGGCTTCACTGTAGTGTTCTTTAGACAGTACATATTGGAGGGATAGTGAGAGACACCCCTTGCAGACAAAAGAGATGCTCTGATATTTATGCATCTCAGGAAAGGGAAAGGGAAAAGGATTCATACATACATATTCATGTGATGATGCAGGCATACATAAGTAAGTAATAGCTCTCAAGTTACTTTCTGCCCCTCTATTATCTACTGTCTACAAGGAAAACAATATCCTTGCTGAGAAGAAGAAACAAATCAGTTCAAGGTGCCAAATGCCAGGAAGAACACATCCTCCTTCAAGACAGATGCCTTGATAGTTCACACCAGCTCCAAGAGTGATGCACATTCTTTTATGTTTCAATTTTATTAAGGCACTCCCATTCATCAAAAGCCTCTAGAAATTTACATTCTTCATCCAGAAAATGTATTTTCCCCACAGATCCTACCCAGCAAGAAACAATGAGTCACTATTTCTACTTTTACAAATATGTAACTTTATTAGAACTTTATTTCCTTAATATACCCACTCCTCATTTAGCAACTACCTTGGTTAGCAACCATTCACAAATACGATGGTAATAAAAAATTCATTTTCTGACCAATGTAGAAATTTATGACCAAATTTTGTGTGCTTGATGACAACGCACATTAGAGTGAGTATCGCTGGCATAGCTGTACAAGAGAATTTTATTTGAATGAGAAGGCAGCAACCAGTGATCTTCATAGCATCTCTCTCTGTCACATGTTCACTTAGCAATTGTTTTGCTTTACAACCTGATCGTTGGAACAGAACTCAGTCAGTAAACAAGGAGTGGATGTAATGTTCAAAGTGTAACAACAGAACTTACCTTATCCACAATTCTTTTTTCCACCTCTTTTTTCACCTTTTCAACTATAGTGGTTTTCCCATTCGTATTACCTGTGGGAAGGCTTGGAGAAGTTTTAACAGAAACTGGTTTTGGAATAGATACTTTGGGCTGTTCTACTTCCTGAAAAATGCATAAAATGTTACATTAAGAGTAAAACTGGAGATAATTGGCGCATCACATCAATCCATTATTTTTTAAGGTTGCTTTATTGAATATATAAATGGCTGGGTTCACAGAATTTGCTAAACTGAAATCAAACAAACTACATGATGACTTAGTGTGCTAGGTAAACCAGACCTACTTCTGAAATAGGTAATAAATAGACCTGTCCCTCAGATGTGATGTGCTGCTCATAAACTAAGCCATGAACAAGACATATTGACTTAATTAGCACATAAACGGGTTCACACGTCGCACTTGACTAAAACTAAACAAACTGTGTTATGGCTTAATGTTATGCATGAATCAGATAAATCTCCCTACATTTATTAAAGGAAGGAAATTCTGTTCCTCTAAAAATGAATATATCACTTCCATCTGAATCCTGTTGCAGTAGATGGCTGTAGTAACTGGTTAGCCTGTGAAATGCACTATATTGGCAGTGTCTGCACTATGCAAATCCATTCTTCTCACTCTCCTGCTACTGCACATAGATACACAGCTAAAGAATTCTCAGAATTAAGAAACATGCCCCTAATCTTTAAAAGGAACTGGAAGGAAGGAACCATTAGCATGATAAAACTGTAACTTTATCAGATGAGTTGAAAAAGATCAAAGTATAAGACACAGATCCTGCCTCAGAATACAGCAAAAAAGTTCAAATGGCTGTCACAAGAGATGGGAAGCAGTATTACACTGACATCTGTAAAAACACTGAAGAGGAAAATAGATACAGGAAAACAAGGAAAGTTTCCAAAATAAAGCAGAGGTTCCAACCTTGAATTGCTAAAGGACACCAATGCCCAGATAGTAACTGATTCAAAGAAGATCAAACAAAGCTAGAAGGAATATACCAAAATTCTGTACAGTAAAGATGTTAACATCTAAAATACTTTAGAAGATATTCCGTATTTAAAGAATCTCTAGTACTAGAAGATGAAGTTAAATTAGCACTCCAATCATTACTAAGTGAGAAGGCTACAGGAATTGATGGAATACTTATTGAATCATGGCAAGCAACAAAGAATCAGTATAAATTCTAACTAAACAATGTCAGCAAATATGGAAAACACAATGACCAATAAATAGGAAGAGGTCAGTCTACATACCAATACCAAAGAAAAGGCACTAAAGAGTGTGGAAACTATTGTACAAGATCCCTAATTTCATATGTTAGTAAAATAATGATTAAGATTTTTCAGTGCAGATTAGACCCTTTCATGGAAAGGGAAACGTGAGATGTTCAAGTGAATTTTAGAAAAGGCTGAACAAGAGATATTATTGATGATGCATGCTGGATAACTGAGAATGCCAAAGAAAACAAAAAAGTCAATTTGTGCTTCACTGTTCCATAATTATGATTATGGTTGATTATGTTGACAAGCTGTTCAATGTCCTTAGGAAAATGGGAATCCCAGAACATCTCACTGTCCTAATGTAAAACCTATACAAAGGACAGGAAGCCATAGTCTGAACATGGTGAAACAGGCTCACTCTAGGAGTAAGGAAGAGATAAGCCTATATACTCTCTCCATATTTATTCAACATACATTCTATATATAATGCATTCGGAAAGTATTCAGACCCCCTTCACTTTTTTCAATTTTGTTATGTTGCAGCCTGATACTACAATTGTTCAAATTCATTTTTTTCTCATTAATCTACACTCAGTACCCCATAATGACAAAGTGAAAACAGAATTTTAGAAATGTCTGTAAATGTATTAAAAGGAAAAACTGAAATATCACATTGGCATAAGTATTCAGACCCTTTGCAACAGCACTTGAAATTTAGCGAGCTCAGAGACAGGATTATTGCAAGGCACAGATCTGGGGAAGGCTACAAAAAAATGTCTGCTGCACTGAAGGTTCCTAAGACCACAGTAGCCTCCATAATTCTCAGATGGAAGAAGTTTGGCATATCAGGACTCTTCCAAGGGCTGGTTGCCTGACCAAACTGAGGAATTGGGGGAGAAGAGCCATAGTAAGAGAGGTGACCAAGAACCTGATGGTCACTCTGACTAAGCTCCAGAGATCCTGTGTGGAG